TTGCTGACTTTGAGAAGTTATTTTTTTCAACCTGATTTATTAGAACGTAGTTGCAATCAAATTTTAAGAAAATTACAGTCACCCAATCAGGACGGAATCTCATGACATCTCATTTGAATTTTTGTCCATATGTGTCATATTCACATTCTCATTAAAATGGCCCATCTTCATAAATAGCTATTAGCTATTGTTCAGCTCTGAGCTCATGTTCACCTAGTTCATGAAGCTAGCTGAAGATGCGCAATTTCTTTTAGCTCTAAATGAATAAGTTGAACAAAAATAAAAATTTATTCCATCTTGTTTGGGTTAAATTGGCTCAAAATGTTTAAATAATTATATTTACTTGTCTATTTATTTATTTATATTTGACAAATTTTAATTTGATTAAATTATTCATAAAATAAAATTTATAAATAAAAATTAATTAACAATTATATCATTTAAAAAAAATATTAAATTCTATGTAATTTAATGTTTTAATTTCAGCCGTTGGATCATCTCTCCATTCTCATCCATTGGGTCTGAATTCCCCAAATAAATTGAAATCCTTACCGTTCATGATGCATCAATGCAGGGAAGATGGGTCACTGCCTTCATAATAATTTTTATTTTACCCTTCATATCATTGTAAGAATATTATAACTATTTAGATTTAAAATAATTCTTAAAATAATATCAGTAATTGCTTGTGGAATAATACAAAACTTACATGGATGCATTTATCTAAGTTATAATATGTTAGGTCATAGCTAATATAATATCTTTCTCGTATGTTATAGCTATTAGGTTTAGGGGTGCAGCAAGCCATGCCAAGCTCGAGATTGGCTCGTTTGGTAAACTGTGAACTCAAGTCGAGCATGAATAGCGAGCTCGAACTCGACTCGTGCTGGCAGGAGCCATTAACCAGCTTGTGGACTCATAACAAAACAGTTTTTACATGAGCTCGTTGGAGGAGGTATTGGTGGTCAGAGAAGGCATTAGAAGCTCACCGGATAATGCATCAAAATGACTAGTGATATGCTAATCGAGCTAGCTTGTGAGCCAACAAGCCGAGCACTTTGGCAAGAAGAGACATCAAAGCATCAGAGCACTTTGGCACGATGAGACCTATGCCATTAATGTGTGCAAATGAAACTATTAACTATCAAGGAGGCTTTTGCTCAATGAAGATGTGCATGATATTTAAAACAAATCCAAGCCGACAACTCTAGTTGAATCATAAAGCTACGTTAACTAGCCATACACGTGGAATGATCAAATATTTGGACTTTTGATTTCAAATAAGCTTAACCTAACGATTATAGGATCATTCTTAACCTTTAGCAGGGATTTATGACCTCAAGATAATGAATAGAGGGGATGGTCGTCAAGAAGGTTTTAGAAAAAGGGTATTTGACAAGCTTGCGCGCACCAAAATTAAGACGATATCCAAAGGTTGAGATTTTAATAACATCGGATTGAAGTTGAATTACTCCTTAATGAATATAATGCTCCAAGAACTCATATAAGTACTTTAAAGAGGATGAAAACTTAATATTTTCTACGTTCAATTTAAAAGAAGCTCGCAAGATTGTTGAACTTAGAATGTATCTCAAGAGTTGTGAGGATTTCATGATGTATTATTCATCCTCTTAAAAGCTTTAAAAAGGTTACATATATGTCAAATGGTCTCTCCCTCCATCTCATATGTTGAAATCATAAGAATTCACAAGAATGACTTGTAATACACTTCAAAACATGACGAAAAATCAAATAAATCTTTAATAACATATAAAAGAAAAAGTGAGGGCAGAAGTATAAACATTAACCTAATAATTGATGCATTTGAATTATTTAACAAAGTACATCTCATGTCCATTAGTGTTACCCAAACAATTTATCAAAATTATACTCTTTGCATGCAATAGAACTTCTATCATTTACATTAACAATCAATGACATCCTATATCAATGTTCGTTTGATTATATATGATATGCATATGATTGCACTATTTTAATTCTAAACAAGCCAACAAATACTTTGGCAATTTACCCCCCAACCCTTTGAGAAGATCATGAGTTCAATCCCGAGAATAAATATAATATCAAGTGGGATAGCATCACAAACCCGCTAAGATCCAAGATTCATACATATATGGATGTGAATTTAGCTCGAAAATGAATTTTGGCTCTGATCGAAATTAGATTTAAATAAACGAGTCAAGCTGCAACCCAAAATTTTGGATTAAATTTTTTAGTCAAGTTTGATCCGACCCAAGTTCGGCTCAAAATCTAATCATTAACAACATATAACTATAAATTTAGCGAATTTAGCCCAAAGACCATTAATGGCTCAAAAATTGATTTGAAATTTGGTTCGAATCAAGATTTAAATGAATGAACAGAGCTACATGCTAAAATTTTGGATTGAATTTCTTTTGAGCTTCCAAAGCGGATCATTACCAGCCCTACATACATACGACAGTCAAAAAAATCTGTTGTCCAAAAACAGCCATGTTCAGCTCATCAAGAACTGTTTCTCGAATTGTTTGTTATATAAATGAGTCAAAAGAAGAAAATTTTTAAGCTCAAATTATAAACAAGTTAAATAACAATTACCCTTTATAAATTGTTCGACAGATTTTAACACAAAATAATATATTATATATATTTATATCTAAGTTTAAATATCACACCTCATGTTTATCATGAGATCAAAAGCCTTCCATTGCATATAAATGATGAAGGTTCAAATCAAACATCCTACATCTATTTAAAAGAGCTAATTTAAGCCAAGCACAAGCTGAAAACAAACACAAAATTTTACTTTAGAATCAAACAAGAACAGGCTGTTCATAGAACTGTAAAAAAATATAAAGAAGCCGCACTCAAACATATGCTCAACTCCCCAAGCTCAGCTAGTTCACACCCCTATACATACATGTTGTGCCACTATCTTACACTAACCTCCAAACTTGCGCTCCCACCATGCCCAATTTGCCTTTCAACAGCTCAGGTACAAAACACCATTGCTCCTCTTGATTATCTCTTTCAAATGGCCTTCAAAATAAATGATTGATGTTGGTGATTGCATGACTTTTAAATAGTTGAACATGTTTTACTTTCAACTCTTTCAAAAACTATTAAAATCTTTATATTATCAACTGAAAATAAGTATCATTACATCGGATGAATTATTTAATGAAACTTTAAATTTTCAATAAACTTGTTTTTATTTAAATATTTAGCCAATTACTATTATTATGAAACAAATAAAGTTAAATTTCCATTATTAAATTGAAATGAAAATTTTGTAAATTGTAATTATTTCTGAAAACTAAATGCATCAAGTTTTAAGCCATCTAATTTCAATGATAGAACCTGACAACAATTTGATGAAAGCTCAAAAATTTCAATAGAACTTAGTGCAAAAGTTATAAAATTTCAGTAAAGCCTCAAAATTTCTCATTCAAAAATCTGCGGAATACATCCAAAATATAGTTTTAGAAAACTTTCAATTAAAAAACAATCATAAACCAACAAAATCAATCAAATTCACCAAACAATTTTCAAATGAAAGCAAAGAACAAACACGATGTTAAAAGCATAAAGCCTTGTTTTACTGCAGAGTAGTAAATGTTGAGCACAGATGTAACACAAAATTAATCAACATATAATAAGTGTAACGATGCGCTCTGTTAGTATTCCAGGCATGTAACTGTAACCACCATTGATGATCGATGGCTACCTGACTAAGCCTGGTAATAGTTAACTCTGCAAGAAATACAAGGAAGAAATTTCGACAGTGAATACTGCGCATCAATGGAGACGATACCGCCCGTTTTGAAATTAGGGTCGAAATAGTTCTATCAAGCCGGGTTTGGTAGACGGAAAAGCAACCAATGAACTCAAAAACTAAACCGAAAAGCAAAGAAGAGGCACGAAGCTGAAGTAAAATGTATCAGATCTAGACAAGAGCGAGACTCGGGGAAGGTTGAGAATCTGCTCGGTCATATGATCGATGCATCAATGTCGCTGGTCTCAGGAGGCGCTCGGTCACTACGGGCTTGCCCGCATATCGACGCCGCTGAACCAGCCTGAGAGATATAGATATATACAAAAAGACACCGAGAGAGAGACAAGGGTTTCAATCAAACAAAAGAAAAGCTCAAAAACCGCTCGCTGCCCACTCCAATGTCTCTTCCACAATCGGAGATCACTGGTTAGATGTCATAATGTTCAAATTCTACCTAAATTTTCTGCCTCGCCGGATGACGAGGGGGCCGAAGGTTTTCGAACGAATCTCCGATCGCCGTCGCCTTTTCTCCAGTAGAAGACAGCTTCGATATTTCTAAATGAAGAATCGCGTGTCCCCGGCGAAGGAGAAGAAGATTGCCTCCCTGTAACGGCAGTGGCGGAGGTAGACGGGGTAGAACTCTGAAGGAAGGGGGTATATAAAGGTTCGGGACGGAGGCGCGTTGCGAAAGGGTATTAGGGTTTTGCCGATGAGAGTTCTAAGATACTCACATGGCCTTCTGATGGGAATCAGATGGCTGGAAATGATATCAAAAGCGAAAGGGTAATTTAGATACATTCCACATAATTCCTATATATCCACATATTTGCAAATATATCGTAAATTTAACAGCATGATGTGTCCGATTTACCGGACAAAATATTTTCTATAATTATTAACCGCAAATAAAAAAGCGCAATTAAAATTCTTGGACAAAAATTCATGCAATAATTGACTAGTTAATTTTTATTAATCAAGATGCCAAATATATATATATAAAACCAAACCTCCAATTTAGAAGATGAACGTGTGTTATAATGGGAAAAAATTTGCGTACGATAGACGTATGCAGCGCTGCGTACAATTTCTCGGTATACCGAGGGTATAACGGGATTATATCGGCGGTATAACACATTGTAACCTCTATATAACATTCTGTAACTTACTTGTAACATACTAATAATTCTTAATATATGATAACAGAAGCGCAGAATTTATTTGTAAGTTACAAGTAAGTTACACTATGTTACATAAAAGTTACAAGAGGTTATAACACTGGTATAACCCCCTTATACCCTCCCTATAACCTCGAAATAAAACGCATCGCTGTGTACGTCTATAGTACGCAATTTTCTTATGTTATAATGACACCGATGTAAACATAAATGTAAATATCAAACTTTGGGTGATAGATATGTCAATACATAAAAATATGTTATATTTGTGTAAATTTCCCATTTAGAAATCATGTTTTAAAAAGAAATAAAATTTATTAAAAATAAATATTGAGTTTAAGCTCCCTATCCAACTCAAATTTCTCTCTAGTTTCAAGAAGCAATAAAAATAATTAAAGTTGCCACTCATTTAGAAGAAAATATTACTTGCAATGCTCACAACCAATAGTCGTATGGATATAATTGTCCGCACATAATAATTTCTCCTTCAACTAAAATTATTTCATAAAAGTTTACATACATACCGCGCACAATTTCTACGTAATTAAAAATCTAACACCTACACTTTACTTTTTAACATTTATGCCGCCCAAATCTTTTGCATCACATAAAAAATAAGACTATTTTTACTCTTAAGAACTGAACACTATTTTAATTTTTTAAGAACTGAAACAAATATTTGCATATGTGTGTGTGTAAAAATTGAAGTTTAGTTATATATATATATATATATATAAGTTTAGTTGTTAGACATAAAAATAATTCTGCAAAAATTCCAATTTTGGATGAGTTTTTTGCATCAAATGCTTCAAGTGTTGGTCCTCCAGATAGAAGGACTGAGCATTGGGGAGGAAAAGTAAATCAGCAGCAAACTGAAGCAACAAGCACCAACTTATTCCAAAATTTTGCTACAAAGAATGTTACTTACAAGTTAAAAAGAAAGAAAATTTGGTTGAGTTCATGTTGGTCTTTGTCTCTTCTGCAAGCTTCTGAAGTAGTTTCTTTCAGCTTTCGCGAGGCGAGCTTGGAACCAAGACCACTCTAACTTGCACCTCTCCCTCACCTGATTCATCGAAACAACCCAACATCGAACGAAAAAAAGTTAATAACGACGAAGATGAACATCATAGAAAGCTGAAGCAAAAGGAGCTGGTTTTATGACCTTACATAAAGTTTTTTGTTTCTGAAACTTACATACATACCGCCAGATTCCTATGTATTTACATATCCATCACCTAAACTTATACCACCACCCAAATCTTTCATATCACTTAGAAAAAACCACTATTTTAACTTTTAAAAGTGAAATACATTTTTGAAGGCATAGGTAAGAAGACATATATGCAAAAGATGAAATTCAGGAGTTAGATATGTAAATACAAATGAATTGAGTGGTATATGTAGATCTTCCTTTTTGTTTATTGTAGTTGAGGAAAACTTTAAGACCAATATATCAGCATATGGATTTTTGTCATGAACACCACATTAAAATTGAATTTCTTTGGTATGATGTTGATTGCTCTTCTTTGTTATTCATATGCGTAAATCTTCATTTTTTGTTATTGACTAGTGTAAATCCTCCTTTTTGTTTGTTGTTATACTACTAGAAATTAACATACTTGTAAAAATTGATGAAAGCAAAACAAGACAAGGAAGATTTACATGTATACCATTCAATCCTTATGTATTTACATATCTAGCATCTAAACTTCAATTTTTTACATATATGCAACCTTACATATGCATTAAAATGTGTATTTCACTTTTTAAAAGTTAAAATATTGATATTTTTTCTCATGTACTCCCAAACCACTCTTTGTTTGATAAACTAAGTCCCAAAGGATTGCCTCAATATTAAGCCAATCTCAACAAATATCCCCTTTTTAACTCAATATTTATCCCCATTTTAACTCAATATTTTAGCAACAAGCTTAGGATCTCAATTAATTTTCTCCAAACAAAGCTCTAGAGGTCCAAAGGCATTGAAATAAGCACCAAAAACATTCGAAAACCATGGGACAACACCTTAGTGAGAGGCTCTTAAACACATCACATCAAAAGTATCCAAAATTCCAAAGGTCCGCCTTTTACTTAACTTTCATGACCCTAAAATTGATGTCTCCTTAATCCACATATTGCAATGGTACGAGCATAAGTTGGTACTTAGATTGACAGAACATTTTGAG